AGGGTATTCAATACTATAATCCAATTTCTGGGGAAAAGTTTCTATACAGTAAATTATCTCAAGAATGTCTTTAAGGCAGCTAGTTTAGTTGAGGAGCTAATGATTAAATTAGCCATTTTTAGCCATATGTCATTAAATTAATTTCTACTCTATTCTTATAAATTTAAAATCAAAATAAATTCCTTAATAACTTAAAAATAATATTAAACAGTTGTATAAAGACTTCATAAAAATCAAAAATAAAAGCATATATATTTTAAGTTCAATTAAACAATAATAAATAATTTATTATAAATTTATAAATGATAAAGAATTCATAATTATTGACTATGCTTTTATTTTTTTATTGGTTTATATCCACCAATTAAATTTGTTTGAATAAATATGATTAAATGTTATCAATAATCAGAGGAAATTACAAGAATGTTTTACACTTAATGAATGGCGCAATCATATCATCAAGAAAATAAAATGGTTTTTTAGGAGATAATCATGGTAGCTGTCTAAATGATGCTATTTATAGAATAAATAATTATACTTGGAACTTGCCTGGAAATTCAATTATTTTTGAGCTAATTCAAAAATATGTACTAAATACTTTAAAACTCTGGTTTTGGGATGATGATAACAGAATTTACAGATTTAAAATATACATAATAAATGAGACTTAAGAAAATTTGATTTATGATAGTACATCAAAAAGTATATTTACTTTAACATTTACCGATTAATTTGTTAAAGGATTTCGTATATTAAATGTGGGTGGGAATACAATTGACTAATGTGTACACCTCTTAAAAGTAGAGGCTTATTACTTTAATTCAAAATCAGATAATAAATTATGAAAATCTATTTTAATACATAATATTTATTTTTAAGATTTTAAATATACTTTTATGCTTATAGAAAATATTTTATTATTTTGAAGGGAAAACTGTGATTTTATCTGACACTTAATTTTAATAAAATTATAATTTCAGATTTAGATATTATGAACTTTTTGAGAAGATTATAATTCAATAGATTGTTGTTTTAATCATTTTATGGAATATTTAATCATTTAATCTAATTATTTTTATTAATAAAAAATATACAGGACTTGTATGGTGTTTTTAATTTTATATGGTTGTAATAATTATATTACTTCAATCAAATTGATGATAAAATCAGTTTTAATCCATTATTATAAATCAAAAATAAAAAACTTTTGAGACAATTTAAAACTCAATTAATTCTTAAATCCAAGTTAATAACATACATATAAAAAATTGATTATCATAAAGAATTCAAAATACATAAACTAATTAATCAGGAATAATACATATATACTATATATATATTATATATGTATAACAAACAAATATGAATAATTAGCTTCTTTAATTTTATAATTTTAAGTAGTTTTATAATAATTTATTATTTAATATTGATTAATTCAATCAATAGTATTCTTTGAATCATCATAGTATTTATAATCTCTAAATTTAAATAGGTTTTATTTTATACATGATTTTATTTTTTCTACTAAAATCCATAACCTCCCACTTACCAATTTTTTTACCATTTTTATAATGACCATTTTCTATGATTTAGGATTATTCAAAGTCATTTTAGAAATTATCACTCAATTCTTTCCACTATCCATTCTTTGTTGATCCTTGTTTGTCAATATATGATCCTCCACCACTAATTAGATTTAATATTTAAGACTAAATACATTTATTAAAATTTAATTTCCGTATCCCCCCTATATAAAGTATTCCAACGACCAATTTTAAATCCATTCTTATATTCTCCATTATAAACGATCTATTATAATAAATTCCCACTCCCGAATCTCTCAAAAAGCTCAACCCATCTTCCAATCTTAATAGATCCTAATAATCCATCACATTCTTATTTTTCACTATAATATCCTTCACCTCTTTTTTAAGAAAATATGAATATTCTATTTACATCTATTCAAATTTCTAATTATCTCCATATTTCCTAAACAAGATATTCCATTTTCCAATTTTTTTTCCATTTACATATTCACCATCATAAACAACTTAACTCCATCTAAAATATTCTAAATAATTAATTAAATACATATCAAAACTATCACTTTCTTCAATCCACCTTCCTGTTTTAATTGAAACTTATGCAGCATTGCCTACATTTTATTCATCATAAAATCCACCTCCGCTTTTTTGTAAAATAAATAATACTCAAACATACATTTAATCAATCCTCCCATCATATGTAAAAGTAATATCCCATCTACCAATTTTTTTACCATTTTTATAAACACCATTATAAATGACTTAACCCAAACTAATGTTCAAAATCATTCTAATACATTACCAAGAAAATCCATCACTCAATTCCATCCATCTTCCAACTTTATTTGTGCACATTCCATCATATTCTAGTTTCTATTCATACACTCCACCACCACTTTTTAATCAATTTTATACTAAACTTACATATAATTTTTCTGATCAAATGTATTCCATCTACCAACCTTAAATCCTTTTTTATAAACACCAGAGTAGGTGATTTAATTATTACTAATAAGATATAAAAATAATCTATAATAATTTAATACCAATTAAATCCCTCACTTAATTCGATCCATTTTCCAATTTTCAATGCACCTAAACCATCATTTTATTGCTCACAATCATATAATCCACCACCTCTTTATAATAAATATCTTAAATTTAACTACATTAATTCAATATTCTTATCTCCATAATTCTTTTTAAACCAAATATTCCATCTTCCAAATCTCTTACCATTTTTATATTAGCCTTCATATGTAACTTAACTCCAACTAATATATTCAAATTAATAAACTTAATACTCATAAAATCCCTCACTCAATTCAATCCATTTCCCTATCTTAGTTTATTCTAAACTTTCACCTCTTTTCTTATACTCATATAATCCACCACCACTTTTATTAAAAGTTAATAAAAAATAACTTACATGAATAAATTTTCATAATAAATATTCCATAACCCAACTTTTTTACCATTTTTATACTCCCCTTCATATATGACTTACTTTTAACTTAAAAAAATCATTGAACCAATTCAATACTTAAAGAAGTAATCGCTCAACTAAGTCCATTTTCCATCCCTTTAACCTTACTCGTTATAATTACCAACACCACTTTATGATATATAAAGCATATATATATACAGTTGTTTATCTTAGTAGAATTGCTTCCATGTACCTACTCTCTTATTATTAATATATTCTCCGAATTCGTATGCTTTGGCATTACTAATAGATATAATAATAAATAATTATTCACTTCTAAAAATTCTTGATTAAATCCATCCATAATCCTTACTTTTCCCCTTTATCAGAGTAATATCCACCAATTTTTGAAAATTTTTATCCATTCCAAATTACATTCCATTTATCAACTTTCTTAAAGCATTATCCATATCTCCCTTGCCATTTAAGAAACTTGATCTATTCTATATTCTCCAAAATATCTGGTTTAGTTATAACATCAGTAAACTAATCACTAAGTTTATTGAAAAATAAATTCAATACATTCTAAGGATTTGTCCATCTTATATATACTTGACTTCCTTCTATTTAAAGATAATGATTTAAATTTGGGTTTTTAGGAATCGATTATCTTTAGTACTCCAAAATCTACATTCCTAATTGTATGCTTCATAAGTTTTTTATTGCATCCTATTTATTTTTGATAAAAATTTAATTTCTTATAAATTTCTATTAATATCTAACTTTTTTTATAATAATATCTATTGATTTTCTATCTATCTTATAGTTTTGCTTTATAATTAATTTAAACAATTATTGATTAAAATATTGTTTGAAATATTGAGAATTTTAAATATCTTTATTAACCCTTTAGTTTCATATTATGTTATAAAACCAAATAATTAGTAATATCTATTTAGAGATTTTCCAAATCGCAATTCCATTCATTTAATTAAAGTAATTAATATTTTTATTAGTGGAAGTTCAATATATCTTTATCTAATAGAATTATCAAGAATTCTCCTTAATGATGTTTACTTATTCTTATATTCTAAACATTATTCAAAACAATAAAAGAGCCATTTTTGGATATTTGTTTAGGAAATGTTACTTGATTCTATCATTTTTGAATTTAACCTCTTTAAATTCTCTTTAATTTTCTATTTAAAATTCAATAAATTTATTCCAAAAGAGAGCATTATAAATACAAAAGTTCAACTTAATCCTTATAAATTATGAATGTAAATTGTCATTTAATTTTAAGGTTTTTATTCCAATTTAATTATTCATTAAGCTGTTATTAAAGTAATTTATCTTACTTTATATTAATAAATTGTTATTAATTAAATTGATTGAAACTAAGATTAATAATCAAAGTATAATATTATTATTAAGAACTTAAAAATATCTAATCTTTATATCAATATAAGGGAATATATTAAAAATAAATCATATTAGCTTTTATTTGAAATAATCTCTGAAAAATTCTGTTTAATTTTAAATATCTGTAATTTCAATTTTTTTTCCTCTCTACTAATTAAAAGACTTGAGTTGATTATTATATTTCATCAAAATTTATAAAAATAGTAAAATAAATAGATGCATGAATAATTAGAGATATTTAATAATTTATTATAAAATTATTATAAAAATTATAATAAAAGTTGAAAGAAATTTCAGAAATATAATTTTTATATAGAAAAAAGGATCATAAGTTAAATAATACAATAATGAAATAGTGTATTTTAATCATATATATTTATTTCAAATAAAGCAAATTAAGGCTATTCTTAGCAGTTTCAAGTACTTACTCTTTACATGTATTTAAATTTGAAATTATAGATTTGTTGAATAGCTGTAGATTCTAAAAAATTGATTAAAAAAATATTTATTAAAATATGAATAATACCCTTATATTCGATTTTGGTTAAAAAATTTTTAAATTATTTAAATCATTAAAAATGTTATCTATTTATTTCTTGATCCATATAATGAAAGTTGCGTATTCAGAGACTACAATACGATTGAATCCTGAATAGCCTTATTGGATAGAAGAATTTTCGAGATTAGATTTAATTATTTAAGAGGGTGTAGTGTATAGATGGTGTTCATGGTTTCAATACCTTCCTTTAAGTTCGATAGTTTACGCTGATTAATTTGGAGTATTAGATAGCAATTGTTATCATTTATTTAGCTCTGTTGAGAAGGAATCAAAATAGTTAAATTTCTTACATTAAGATTGTTTAGATGTAATAGCAATGACTATCACTAAAATAATTTAATTTATAGATAGTGATGATTAACAATATAATTTTGAAATCAATATAAGTACTTTTGAATATGAAAATTAATGGTACTATTTTGATTTTATTTTATTTCCAAATGAGAATTAATTTTAGATAATAATAATAAAGAATCAATAAATTATTAAAGATGAAATCTTAAATGTAGTACCATTTTCAAATGTTAAATTACTTTAGAAAATAGGAGGAAGTCTACTAGTTGAACAATCTAGATTAAGAAATATTGAAAGGGGAATGAAGTTTGCATCATTTCCAGGTAAGATTATTCCAATTAACAATGATAATGATGTAAAAGATTTTGCTAATTATGCTATCGAATTTATTGGGTCTAATATAATATGTATATGTGAAAGCAATAATTAAAATAATAATATAGGTGATCATGATTTTTTAGAATTAGACTTAATAATTTATAATTCATAATATCCAAATTGCAATTCATTTCTATTATCTGGATGGTTTAAAATAAAAGATATTATCTAAAGTGATATTAAAATGACCTATTAATTTATTAAAGTGTCATCAAATTTGTAAAGTAGTTAACTTTCTAATGAAAATTTATCACCATTTTAACTATTTTACTATATATAAGAAAATTCTAAAAAATTGATAATAACAAGTTATAGTTATTAATTTCCATCTGTAAGTTTAGATTTTATAAATAATCCTTTTTTAATAACAAGAGAATTTAATATTAATCATAATATTTAATTATGGCATCTTATATATGTAAAATTAATAGAGAATGACTTTTATATTAATATCAAATTTTATGATAAAAAACAAGTATATGAATACAGTATATAATTGATGGTATATCAATTTCATCAAATATATTATAAACTTATATTAGGAAATTATTAATAATCAACTAATAACTATATAAATATTATAGGAAGAAACTTATATTTATTTAATTGCGATACAAATTTTTTATAATAAAATTGTCATTATAGTTGTTAAGAATGTGATGGTCCCACAAATGAAGATTGTTTATCTTGTTCATTAGATTCAAAAAGAATTTATCTTCCAGAATATAAATAATGTATTTGTCCATATTTTACAATTGAAGATTATGATTGTAAGAGTTATTCAGATTTAAATTTGTAATTAATTTCTCATATAGAATAAAATTTGGAATGTAAATATGGATAATTTGAAATAGATGGATTATGTTATGATTGGTATTTCTATATTATTATTATAGTCCTGGAATAAGAAACTAAGAATTTATAACTTGTTTAGAATGTATATTAAATCCAAAAGAATGGATTTAGAATCCAACTTGTTAAACTAATTTATAATTAAATAAAGATGGAAGTACTTCAAAAGTATAGAAAAATTCATGGCAATAATAATAATAATATTACATATTTAATGGAATTAATCTTGAATTATGTGCAGAATGTGTAAAATCAAATTTACTAGATTAAAATAATATTAATGAAGATAATAATGTTAAATTACAATAATTTAAATAGTTTTGTTTTACTTAAGTATATTCTAATTAATGTTATAAATGTGAATTACCTAATTGTTTAATATGTAGTATTTAATTAACAGGAGCAGTATGTCTAATATGTGATTGGATGAGTGATTTAATAAATGGATTATGTAATGTAATTAAATTTGGAATAAAGGATTAAAATAATTGTATATCACCCTATTATATAACTTCAAATTAATATTGTAAAATATGTCCAATAAATAAATGTTTGCATTGTTTTGAATATGTTTCTGATGACTTAACAAAATGTACACTTTATAAGGACTTCTAGATATTTAATGGAGATGATAATCTAAAAGTAGGATGTGCATTATGTGAAAATGGATATATTTTTGATTTTTAATTGGGAATGTGTTTGCAATAGAGTTCTAAAATAGAAACTTGTTTAAGAAGTTATATTAATTAAAAAGGTACAGAAATATGCACATTATCATCTAAAGAAGACTTTTCAGTAGCAAGAGAAATAATAAATTGTGAAAAATTAATCTCTAATTGTCTTTAATGTTTCATTACAGTTTAATCAATATTGAGATGTATCATTTGCAAAGAAGGTTACACTAGTACAACTACAGAAGCGAATGGAAGATGTTATATTAATAAATTATAATATGCAAAAATAAGTATAGAAGGTGATTATTACTTAAAAGATGCGTGGATGTAAAGAATTCAAAGTTTTATGGGATCATTTTTGCCAAATTCTTATTTTTATCCAACATCAAATTCTTATTTTATTGGAGAAATAGCAATATCTTGTTTAGATGGGTATTAGTTAGTTGAATATCGAAGATGCATTAAATATTGTAATTCTGATTGTAAATAATGCAAATTGAATATTTCACCTCCATATTTTTATTGCAATCAATGTCTATTAGATTATTATAAAAAACCTTAGAGAGTTGAAAAGAATGGATAATGTTTAAAATGCTCCCCATTATGTGAATTTTGTGAATCAAGAACTCTTGATGAAATATCTGTAATATATTTATTAATACTAGTTAATTTAACCTAATTTTATTGTGAATGAGAAAAATGAATAATATACAAAAAAATGTATTCAACATATATTTGATCCAAATGTTACAATTTAAGCATAATAATTAATTCCCTTATTTTGTTTAAATGAAAAATGTTCTAATGCTTTGTTATATCAATTTTACTGTTATTTAGATTCTTCTGCAATTGATAGCATTTTAACTACATCAAATATCAATTACCTAAATTAAATTGGAGTTTAAACAATCATTATTCAACTTTAATATACATAATCATATGAATATTGTGATGGTGCAATTTAAATCAATGCAATCTAACTTAAATAAAATATATTTTCCTTAAGAACTACTAATTTAACTATATTTGGAAATGAAGTTTAATTTAAAGTTGCCATATCAGATTTTAGTATTGACAACTTTGATATTGTATAAATGTTTAATTTTACAATAAATCTACAAAATTTACCTTTAAATTTTTTAGGAAATACAAAATTGAAATTAAAAATGAAAAATATAAAGATTCTTGGAAATGAATAAAATCAAACTAATAAATTACTTAATTCAAATTAATTTGGTAGTATTATTTTAGTAAATATTACAATAATTAATATTGTTTTTACAGAATCATCATTTTTTAAAATAGAATCTTTATAAATAGAAGAATAAGTGTAAATTAATTATTTATTAATTTTTAATTGTACATTTATTAATACTGATCTATTTTTAATTACAAATAGTTAATTATCCATATAAATAGACAACTTAAAAATTGAAAATTGTACATTATTTAATTCATCAATTTTAAAAATGAAACAAAATTAAATTGTAACAAATATAACTTAAATATCAAGAATTCTAGTTATAAATTGTAAATTAGATCATTCTTACATTATTAATTATTATGATTAATTTAAATTAGAACTTTTTAACTTATAAATCGAATAGAACATATTCTATTATTCAAGCTTTTTAAGTTTTAATTATAATATGTCTTTAATTGATTTTAATGTTTAAAATAATATTTTAGATAATTCTATTTTAATAAAAGCAAATGATATTAATACTACAAATTTTGTGATATTTTCAATAGATAAATTTAAAGTTGTTAATATAAAATTAATAAATTCAAATTTAATTTATTTCATTTCATAATTATCTAATATGATAATTCAGTTTAGTAATTTTATTCTTGAAAATATTGAAACATTAGAAACTAATAATTAATAATAATATCTATTAAAAATTACTCACTCTTTTAATTGCTCTATTAAATAAGTTTAAATTCTAAACTCTAAGAATTTTCCAATATTTTCTTTTTTTGAAAATAATGAGATATTAATAGAAAATCTTATATTTTAATAAAATTAATAAAAAAATTAGATTACTAATTGCTAATAGAAATATTAATTTAATAATTAACTATTGTTTATTTAAGGATTTTCATATATTAAACTAAATTAACTTAAAATATTTAATTATTAAAATTTCAATTAAGCATTTATTGAAATAATTTCATATTTTTAACATTTAGAAAGTATTAATGAAAAAATTGAGATATCTGATACTCTAATTGAAAATAATATAATATAAAAAGTATATTAAAAGAATATGTTATCAATAATAAGTATATATTCAAAAAATAAATAATTTATTTTATTTGAAAACTTGTAATTTAAACATAACTTTTTTCATTAATATCAGGATGATCCAAATGAAAATTTTGCTAGTTTAGTATATATAGATTCACCATAAGCTTAAATAATTATTAATAATTTATTTTGTAAAGAAAATGCTATAACTAATTCATCTACATCATTTATTGTAATAATTTCACAATCAATATTATTTATAAACAATACTATAAGTTATCATAATGTAATTAATTAAAAATTATGGAGTTAATTTTATGAATTTGAGCTTGGTATATAATATGATTAAGATCAGATTAACTAAATTATTCAATAAATTTATCCAATATATGTATAAGGAGGAGTAGCAAAAATTATTTCTGAGTAATTTATTTGCCAAAATTCAATATATTAACATATTTTAGCTTTGACTAGTGCCATCTTTGATATTAAACTTAAGGTTAAGGATTTATATAATTTATTAACATTTCAATTGAATCAATCTATTCTATATATTAATAAGGAACAGATAATTTTGGTTGTATAAATATTAATTCTCTAAATAGTAATTTAAATTTATAGGTATCTAATGCCAATTTTCTAAATGTAGTAAATGGAATGAGTACTGTTATATTTTCTATTAGTCCATCTTAAAGAAAAGCAAAAATATTATTATTGGATATAAAAGTGATTAATTGTTTTTCATTCTTAAATCAAATAATGAAAGTCTAATTTTCATTAAACAAAAACAAAAAATAATTTAAACTAAAAATGTTAAATATTACTCTAATTTTTGAAAAATCAGCTTGGATTAGATATTTTTAATAATTTGGACAATTTACTGAAATTACTGAGATTAATGGAGATGATGGAGTTTTTAATATTATTGGAGGATAAGTTATGATTGAATAATTTATTATTTAAGGTATCATATTATCCTAGATTTTTTAAATTGTTAATTCAAATCAAATTTTGATGAAGAATGTTTAAATTAGTGATATTTCTGCTTTCTATTAATTGCCATTAATTTTTATTAATTAATAATTAAATTCGATAGTTATACTTTAAAACATAATGATTTAAAGATTTTCTATTTATTAAATGAATTATATTGAAGAAAACATAGAAAATACAGAAAACATATAATAATATGTAATTGTTGAATGCTAACTTAAAAAATTAATCTTAATTGATAATTATAGTTCTTAAAATTTTATAAAATAAAATATCTAATTATTATAGTAATAATCAACTAAAATAGGTTATCCATTAATTCAATTTATAAGTTAAAATTATTAGGTCAGGTTTATTATAAATTAAGTAAAATTAATACAAAACAATTGTTTAAGTTGTTCAAAGGGAATTCTGTTTTTTGATCTTAATATATTTAATTATGTGGAAATTAATGAGTTTTTATGTATTTACAATTCAATCAAAGAGAATGGATGTATATATTTTAAAGGTAACTCCTAGAACTATAATAAAAAGGTTACAGTACATAATTCTGATTTCATTTTAAATAATGGCAGTCAAGGTGGTGCCATAATGGCTGAAAATATAACTTTGTTTATAAACAATTGCAAAATAATTGGAAATACAGTAAGCTAATTAGGGGGAGGTATATATGCTAATATCAATAAATCTGAAATTAAAATAAATAAATCTATTTTGATTTTGAATAAGGCTAAAGTAGGAGGAGGAATTTATTTTGCAAAATAAAATAATTTAAATGAAGAAAACTTTTCATAAACCTATTTACTTTTTAACCATGGTGAGACTTATGCAAATAATTTAGTTGAGACTCCAACTCATTTAAGTCTTTCTATTAATCAAATGGATATGATGTCTGAATAATTAGATATTAATAGCAATGTGATATTAATTTCAAAAATTAAACCATATAATATTATTGAATAAGGTAATTTATTAAAAGCAAAACAAATAAAAATTCCAAGTAATTAGAAAATAAATAGTTACAAAATATATGTTCCATAATTATAAATATATGTAAATTATATTGATATTATGCTTATATCTTTTAAAAATCGATTTAATGAAAAATTAGAAGATTTAAATTATTCATATTGTTAAGTTAAAACAGCAATTGTTTATGAAAATAATCGGAGTGTATCATAAGAGAAAATACTATAAGATTTGTAATTAGATTTAAAAAATAAGGCTTTTGATTTGAGTTCTCTATCTTTTAGTTTTGATCCTTACAATTAAAATTAATCTTTATTATAGATAGGATTAAATTGTTATTTTGATTAGAGTGATTAAAAATTATAATATTTAATTTATGCTAAAACTCTAAAATGTTAATTGGGAGAATTTTATATTGATAAAGGTTGTTAAAATTGCTAATCAAATTAAGGATTTTATTCTGTAACATATAACACTACTAAATGTTCAATATTTGACAAATAAAAATTTGAAAGTATTTCATCTAATTAAATTAAATTGTTATAAGGATATTGGAGACCGAATTATCTTTCAGATTATACAGAATATTGTTTTAAAAACCCAACATTTTGTATTGGTGGTTGGGATGTTGGACATAATTTATGTAGTTTGGGACATATAGGAGCATTATGCGAAGAATGTGATATTTTTGATTAAAGAGGGAAAGGATAATTTTATAAAGATTTATAAGAATTTTAATGTTAAGAATGCAATAAAATTTGGAAAAGTATGTTATCTTTTATATTTACTTCAATATGGTATTATTATTATATTAATAAATATTAAGGTCGTTTCTTTCAATATTAATAACTTTAAGAAGTATTGATAAATCAAATAAATTGTTCTCATCTCTTAAGATTGGATAAAAGTATAGTAAAATCATATTTAAATTAAATTAAGGTAATTTAATAATTAATATTAATAGATCATGAAAGTATTCTAATCAAAATGTTACTGAATTATCTATGGATATTTTCAGTTATTTTTAATTTTAATATCAGTTTTTCTATTTCATTTAATTTTATTGAACAAACAAGTAATACATTATTTGTTATGATTAATAATTTGGATTGTTATCTATCTTAAATCTAAAATATAGAATTAATCTATTTAAGATTAATATTTATGTTAATATTGATTATAATTCAACTGTTAATTATTTGGGCAGGATTTACAATTTAGGCTAAATTTAAAAAATAACTATTGAATAGAAGTATTATTTCTAATACCTTGCTATATTTATATGTGTCAAATTATGCTGCTTTAATTAAATAGTAATTATATACACTATTATCTAGGTTCTGTTCTATCATTTCTAAAAGATAGATTTCATAAATTTCCTATATCTAAGGAGATGTATCTCTTCTATTTGGAACTCCTAATCATATATCCTGGATTATTTGCTTTGCGATACCAGGCCTAGGAATTTTTGGTCTCTTTATCCCTTTCTCCTTATTTTTTATTATGTACATAAATCGAGCATAATTGGATTAAATAAAACTCAGAAGACATATTTGCTATCTATTTAATGAATATAACAGTGAAAGTTATTATTGGGAATTAATTAAACTATCAAAAAAAACTATTATCATCATAATATTGACATATTTTGAAGGAAATATATTTTTTAAAGCATCACTTCTAGGTTTGTGTTTGCTGGTTTATTAAATGGCAGCAGTAAAACAATAACCTTATATTATTTCAAGTTTGAATTTCTTAGATGTTCAAACAGGGTAAATTTGTTCTATTACTATATTCCTTGCTGGAGCAAATTATGTATGTGAATAGGAAAATTACTCAAATTTATCATTACCTCTATAAATTTGTATAGTGCTTCTTTGTGTTAGATTATGTTACTCCTTTATAATAAACATTTTTAGAGTTTATTTAAAAAAATATAAAGTACTTTGTGTCGAAGTAATGTATAAAATTTGTAGATTTCTAAAAGCAGATTGTTTTCTTACTGTATATTTAAATAATCAACTCAAAAAACTAAATTAAAGAGAATAGCGTCTAAGAAATAATTTTATAAAAATGCGTTGTCATTTAATGTCAATGTCAAAGGCTTAGATAGGACATTAAAAGTAATATAGAATTATAAATAGGCAAATTATTTCATTGATTAATTCTTAATCAACAATCAGATATCGATAAACTATCGTAGATGTAGAAATGAACAAATTGATAAGTACTTGAATGGTTGAGATATGAATATATGGTATATATAAATTAAAAAGATTAGAGAATAATTTATTATATACTGATACATAATCAAAATTAATTTAATTTCATAATATGGATTTCATCTTTATCATTTCACTTTATGTTGTTAAAAAAAAGCAAGGTATATTCTAAAATATTTCTAAATATTCAATAGTATTTTATAGATTTTTCATTTATAACTATTCTAAAATAACATTAAATTTAAAATTTACTTATTTTATGGTTAATATTAGATATTTTATAAATTATTTAAATTTAATTTCATATTATTTTGAAATTATAGGCACAAAATATAAATTATTATATTTTTCATTTATTCGATATATAACACTAAATCTTCAAATTTTTGTTTTATTTCTTAGTCAAATTATACTTTATATTAATCAAATTAAATTAAAAGTAGTTTTCACAATTTCTTAGTAAATACAATTTTAATCCTTATAATAAATAAAATGAAATTCATAGTTGATAATATTATAATTTAAACTTATTATAAATTCATAAAACTCTACAACTTCAGGACAGAAAACTTTCCTATTATTGCTTTTGTTTTTTGCTAAAGAATTCAGAATTGAATTCAGTTATTGACCTTACCATGACATCTTTAAAACTGCAAAAAGAAGATTAGATTATTATTTATTTAAAGTTCTCTATTAAATAATTCAATATTATCAATGTATGAAGGATTCCAGTCTTCCAAAATTAGTTCTCTGAATATTTTTCAAAATCAAATTCTAATATTGAAATTCTCTCAATGTATATATTAAATATATTCATATTATCCTTTTCAAAATAGAAATTGATACTATTTGCCAAAAATAATGAAGCATTATCTATTTCACTTTCATAATCAGATGGAAATTTGATGAAAACCTGCAAAATTTATTTTATACAATTTATTCTGCTTTGAAATTAATTATAATTGGTATTTATAACTTAATCTAGAGCAGAATTTAATAATTCAAATATTTGATTAATAATTGATTCAGATTCTTCAACTTGATTCTTGAGCTTTTCAATCTTTTATAAAATTTCCAAATTCAATTCTGAATGACTTTGAATATTGATTTATTATAAATCTTTAGAAATTAAATTTATAGCATAAAAATAATTAAAGAGATGCCAATATAATGAGCGATAATATAAATTCTAATCTGAACTTAATTGTTTTTTTAATTCATATAAATCTTAATTTTATCTACTCATTTGTGTTAACTGTAAAGAATTTATTTATTTAATGTTTTATGTTAAAGGTTCTAAATCCTAATTCTAATTTTCTTTTTATTTATAAATATGGTTTTACAAACCTTTTATTTTCTCCTTATAAAATTTAAGGTTTTTTATTGTTTCAACCTAATTTTCATTTAATTGAGATGGAATAATTTGTAAAAATTGATTTTCTATATTATTTATCACAAATTAATATTATTAATGCTAAGTTTAAGAAATTATATTATTTCTCTGCAAATCCTAAAGGGCTTCCTTGAAAATTTATAATTCTTAATAAATAGAACTTAAAATTTCAACTTTTTGATGAAGAAACATCATCTTGTCTTTTGAAAGTTGAAATTACAATCTTTATTAAAGAGTTAATTTTAATGAACATTCAAGAGCACTTTCAAAATACTAATAGGCTTAATTAAATTGTTTCAGAGAAAACTACAGAAAACCTAAACTAAATTGATATAATGGGTTTGCTGGCAATATACCTATGGCTTTTGAGTAATCTTATATTGCTTAATCAAATATTTTCTAATCAGAATAGATAAGTCCTTTTTTAAAAATATTATTGATTACCTCTATTATAAAGAGCAGCACTATGTTAAGAATTTATTTCAACAGCTTTCGAATAATCTATTATTGCTTCTTAAAGTTTTCCTTTATTTTTATATGCATTGCCTAATTTTTTTCAATTAGCCTACCTCTAATATAGAATGCATCTGCATTAACCATTTGCAATTCTATTGCTTTTGAACAATCCTCAATAGCTTCATTGAATTTTCCAAAATTTACATAAGCATTGCCAAAATATTAATTTATTAATGATTACCTCTATTATTATAAGCAGCGGCATATTGAGGATTTATTTCAATTGATTTAGAGTAATCTCTTATTGCTTCATAAAAATTTCCTAAATTTTAATATGCATTAGCTCTTTCTCAAAGATTTAATTACCTCTATTATTATAGGCTTGAGCATTGTCAGGAACCATTTTGATGTATTCTGTAAAATCCATTATTGCTTCTTGAAATTTACCCTGTTTCCCATGTAATAATCCTTTACATAAAGAACTATTCAAACCTCTATTAAAGTAAGCTGCGCTATATTATGGATTAATTCTTATGGCTATAGAGTAATCCTTAAAAGCTTCTTCAAAATTCATTAAACTTGAAAAAGCATTTGCTAATATTTAATAAATTTGAATTACCTCTATTTTGAAAAGCAGCAGCATACAATGGACTTTCTTCAATAGCTTTGTTATACTCAATTATGGCTTTTTCAAATTTTCCCTGCTTCTAATAAACAAGGCCTAATAATAGTAAATTATCAATTACCATTATTTAAATAACCATAAGCAAATATACTTTAATTCATTGAATTATTTATTCAATGAATATTTGAACTAAAATTCAGTTTTGTTTAAAATAAGGATTTATAGAAAAATAATAGTGTAGATATTTGAAATCAAATTATTGAATATAAAATAAATATATTAACAAATTTTACAAGTACTTCATAATTTCTTCTTAATTTAAGTAAGACTTGGGTCTGTAAAATGTTATTTTACTAAATTTCTTGATAAATTTTTTCAAATTTTCATATTAGAATAAGAATGATAAATTATTTTTATACATTAATGAAAATTCCGATTACCTAATCTTAATAATATTAAAGTAATTAGTATTTAAATATTCTTCTGAATTAGGGATCGATTATTTTCAAATTAACAGAAAAACACCTTATATTTTCAATTTTTTTTTTATATTTAAAATTAGCTATTCAATTATTCAAATTATGCATAGTCAATTTTTGAATTAGAACACAATAAAGTATAATACTAAAAAATAAGATGGTAGTTTAAATTGTTAAAAATTGAATTTTACTTTATCCTCTTGAAATTTAAATCTAACTTATTGCTTTATACCTTTCAGAATAAAAACCAAATTAAATTTGTAAGATAAAGTTGTTTATCATTTAAAGGTAAATGTTTAATTTTGCTAAGATTGGATTAATGCAGATGTATATTTAGTTTTATTCCACTTTAAATAAAAATAATCACAATTATTCAAATGTTCAAATTTAATAAATTTTTTATCTTGAAAAATCTTATTTAATCATGCTTTAAGGAAATCTGAATTACAACTTAAATTCAATCATTACATAATTATTATAGCTTTATATTGTTAATTAAATTAAATTAAATTAAATTAAAATAAAAAGATGTGGTGGAAGATCTGAATATGGATAGTAATTTAATAATTCAAATTTATTTAATTTACCTGAATTTTTTTCAATTTAAAAATATTCAATAAATAGACACAATTATTTAATCAAATTTTTGATAAATTTAATTATCTATAAATATTCCAAATAATCAAACTCGCATATTCTTTAAATTGAAGTCCTTCTTCATTTTTAGTTTTGCATCCTGAATTCAAGAACTGATTATTAGTTGTTAGAAAGACTCCTTATTAATAGCAGAGCTTTGTTTAGGAATAAAGATAAAATTAAGATGGGCGGAATGGATCAAATTTCTGAAATAAAGAAACTATTGAAGAAATTCTTTAAAAATTTCTCCAAAAATGATTTAATGGGTAATGTATGATCTATTATTATTATTATTATTCAAAATTTAAGGATAATACACATACTTTCCTAAACAAAAAAAATTTTGACTTGCTCTCTTCAAAACAAATAGGCAATAAAACAAACTAATAAAGAAAAAAATTCAAAGTTTATAAAAAATTTAAGAAAACTAAAAAAAATAAAACCTATTTCCATTTAAAATATGAATTTATTATAATAAATGAATTTTCTGAGAAGAAATTACAAAAATTTTTGGTGTTTTACTGCATAAATTTTGAAGGTGAAAATGAATTCGATATGAAAAGAGGTGAAGTAATTTAGATTGGTTAACTAGTCTGAATCATCAATAAATTTTCAAATTAATTGAATTAAAATAAATTTTCTTAGAATTAGATTCAACCACAATCAAAACTTTCAGTTATATAAATACGAATCAAAATACAGAATTTAATTATCTTTATTAGTTTTATCAATATTGATTTTTCCAAAATAATCAACTTATATTTCATTTAAAGGTTCAAGTTGAAACAAATTTTATAAATACAATATTGTAACTCTATTATAATAAAGATTAACTAATAATAATAATGCAAAAAATAATTTGTCATATACTATAACCCCAACAAAGGGTTTTTCACTCATTAACTCAATTATATTATATTACCAATTTCTTGTTAATTCATAAAAAAATTAAAATAGCTCAAATTTTGTGTTATTAGGCCAATAATGAAGTTAATCATGGTCATAGAATAGTATTTTTGCTAACTGCTTAGTATGGGATAACTAGATTAGCCTATAACTTTAAGTAGACCTTTTAGGCATTTTTTTTCTCTCAGGAAAAGAAAAACAGATCTATGACACATAAAAACACTTTTGAAAATAAATATATTGTATCATAAAATAAAATATATATTATACGAATTTATTTATTCTAACCTCAATAAATTCAAGTGGCTCAAGAAAAAAGTCCATAAATATTACAAATCCAAAAATTAAAACGAATTTTTGAGCAAAACCTAAAAAATAAATCAGAATTCAACGATATTACCAAAAAATTAAATAGAGAAATAGAATTTTAAGAATAATTTTATGCAAGTTACTGTTATTATACCTTTTTTTTTAACTTGATGATTTTTTTCAATTATTTTATTTTGTTTAATATTATATATTTATTTAGAAAAGACTAAAATAAGCACGATAATACAGTAATTAATATGCTAATTATTGTTTATTATAAATAAACAATAGTTTAGTGGAAAAAAGATAAAATTAATAAAACTCATTAGTAGTTTTAGGAATGGAATCATGCCTTTTAAGAATATAGTTAAATTGGTACTTTAAATATTTAAAGTGTAAAAAACTAATTAAGATCATTAGTTTATATAATTTTATAAAAATTGTGATTAGAGAAAATATTTTTAATTTGATATTTTTATTTATCTTATAACAATATTCTTTGATTTTTTATTCTACTATAACTTTATAAGTATTATTTTAAAATACTTGTGTATGTTTTATCTCCTTATAAATAATCAAATATATTTGATATCATATTTTTTATATTCAAAAATCAATATTGTATTAAATTATTAATAAATTAAATTGATAAAAAAATAGTGTATAATATTCATTATAAAGTTACAGTAATAAGTTGATATTATTTATCAAATTTTTTCAATAATAATAATATAGTTTTAATTTTATACTATTTATTAGAATATTTTAAATAATAATTATACAGTTGTTTGAATTGAAATATCTTTTTAAAGGAGCAAAAGACTTTAATACCAGCACAGAAAAGAGGTGGAGCTAAATGTTATGGGATAGTATTTGGAATTGGAAAAGCCCATTTAGCTGGGAATTATATATGTTTTGCGAATTCATCAAATTTAGGCAAAAGGATAAAATAATTATCCACCTTTACTCCACAAAGGTAATCATTTCCTTAAATACATAATTTACAGTTTCCACAACTATCTCTTATGAATCCTGCACCAACTAAATCACTAATTTTGAATTGTGTAATTAGTCACCTTTCATTAAAACATGACCTAATATCTCATGTCTTGGAACACTTGGATAATTGATTAGAAACAAATCTTAATTAACAAGATGACCTTTTGTTATTGATTTCAAATTTACAATCAGTATAACATAGTCCTAAATAAATTTTTTGACTTTTCACTTCTTGTGGTTGGATTGGTAAGAAGATATAAGGATAAAGTAGAGCTTCCGTATTTGGTCTTTCAAATGACCATGCAAATGCTTTTGCTTGTTCTTTTGTGACTAATTTATAAAGAAAATGTTCCTTTGTGGCCATCGATTATTATTTATATTGGTTCATTAATGGGCTTATCATCTTGAATATTTTATATGTTCATAAATCACTTTAAAAAAAAGAAATTTATTTTTACATTAAAAAATTTTAATATAATCTGGATTTAAGGATTTATACAGAATTTATATATTTCTATAGAATATTTGTATTAAGAATTATAGAATAATTAAATAAAAACATATTAAATTCTAAATTCTCTATTTAATTGATGTTTTCTATTATATTCATGTAATTATTATTTAATATTAAATTATCAAATGTAAGCAGGTAAAATATATCCAATTCCAAATAACCTTAAAAACCAAAATAAAGAGTTAGAAAAATATGATTATATGTAGTGTGTGGGATCAAATTTTGAATTTACTTTATTAGTATCAATGCTTGATTGCTTTCTAGCTAATGAAAACATAAATAAGATTTAAATGTTGGTAACACCTTAGAGACCTTATTCATATTCCTCACAACAAATTGCTTAAAAAATATAAAATTTCATTATCAAGGAGAGAAACTTATTAATATTCTATCAATCAGTGTAAAATAGTGATCCTTTATTTAAAAAAACAAATTAATTCCTTTATGAATTTTGCAATAATTATGAATAACCTTAAAGTTAATAATTAAAACAGAAAATCATAATTTTAACAAAAATATTTTAAGTTTCATTTTTTATTTTTGGGGAGTTGATAAGGAAAGTTGAAAATAGTAATACGTGGATTTTTATTTATTAACATTAGAAACAGCTATATTATTATGTTAAATAGTTTTATGAAGATTTCAAACCAAAAATACGTTCAATAAATTTCTAAAAATTGAAATAATCAGATGTTTTATATGAAAAAAATAAGATCTCAGAGAATAAGAATATTGATTACAAAAATTACACAGATTAAATAGTTAAAAAGAGAGTAATTGAGGAATCTAAAGATGATGAAAGATAGATTACAGAATCATAACAATATTTATCTAAAAGGACATTTTAAAATTAGGTTTTTGGAGATTAAATTGAACATCAATAAAATAAAGATGATCCAAAAAATTCAATTTAATTTTGTCTGAATTGCTATGATAGATCATAAACTCCACTTTTTATTAATAAAAATTGCGGTCATTCATTTTGTGCAAAATGCATAGAAAATATAACAAATCTTGAAAAGTGCTACTCTTAATGTTAAAAATAAAATTGTACAAAATTAATAGACTCAATATCTGCATTTTATTATTGTCAAAATATTTCTACATTTAGAAAAGAAAAGATATTATAGCTAGAATTTAAATAATGTAATGGTTGTGGAATTACTAATATTTAAAAAAGCGAATAATTTGAAAATGATTGCAAACATACATTTTGTATAGATTGCTCTATAATATTTACAAAATAAAGTTGTTAAGATAAAATTCCATGTTCATACTTTGGGTGTACTTATAAAATAAATTATCGAAATTTGAATGAATATCTAAAATAATAATAAATTAAGTTTGAGTGTTCTAAATGCTAATTAAAAATATATAGAGAAAATTTGTATTGTAATGAACCATGTGCTCATTATTTATGTATCCCTTGTTTAGATGAGTTGCTATTGAAGAACAAGAATAATAACACTGACTAATATTTATGTCCAATTCATGAATGCAATGAAGTGTTAAATCAACCTTAATTTTCTTAATTTTTGTGTGAAAACTAATCTAAACTACTAAAAAATTAATCAAATATCTAATATTAATTATAAGAATAATAAAATATTTATTAAGTTAATTAAATGTAGCCCATATTTCAAATAAAGGAATACTTTAATGAGGATAAAAATATGGTGATTATGAGGAATTATTAAGAAGAGAAATAAATTTAGAATTAAAATTAATGTTCTTTGTGTTTTAAAGATTTTTCTTCTAACCAACAACTTAAGAAATTAGATTGTCTAATTCACTAAATAGGAGATTGTTGTTTTTCAAAGTATTAACAATGCCCTTTGTGTGCTAAATATCAATGATCTTTTAATTAAATATGACAATTAGGTTTTTATCAAAATTTTCTAATTTGATTATTTGTTCTGTTTTCCTCACTTTAATGAATCATAATTTCAATTCAATTATATTACTTATCTACATAAAATATCAAAAGTTTAATCTATTAAATTTATATAGCTTTATTCTTTCTTTGTTAAATATTCGTCTAAATAAATATTTTAAATAATAATTATAAATTAATTAAATA